GAACCTTCTTCAGCTCTGAACAGATGATGAAACACTGAATGATTCCAAGCACATACTTTGTCTGATAAACTTACATTTATTCTTCATACAGACTGGGGAGCTGTGGTTTGTCAAAGATCAGCTGTGATTATCTGGCAGCAGCGCTGAAGTCTAACCCCTCCCATCTGAGAGAGCTGGACCTTAGAAACAACAACTTGCAGGATTCAGGAGTGAAGCAGCTGTGTGGTTTTCTGGAGAGTCCAGGATGTAGACTTGAAATTGTGAGGTCAGTCACCATGTTTGTATGTAGTACACTTAACCTGTGTTTCCATATGCTAGGGACTTCCTGTTGTTCTAAGGAGGACTGGAAAATGTGTGAAAATCTCCCAGTCAGTTCACAGCACACTTCAATCATTTTCCTCCCATGTCTTATGCTGATTCAGTGTCACATTCATCTTTGGTCCTTGTTCTGCATCCCCACCATGGACTTCATTCCTTTCCAAGCCAGCCTTGAGTGTCCTTTATTCAGCTCATCCTCTGCTTTACTTTTAAATAATAATTTTGTGAATTTTAGTGATCCCTGTGGGGAAATATGTATGAAGCAGTGGGGAGCCACTAAGTAGGCACAGCGGGAGCAGTGAGTACGGACAGTACCTTGCTCATGGGTACCTCAGGGTAGCCATTCAATGGATTCAAACAACCAACCTTCCGACAATGGAGCAATAACCTTGTCTACTGAGCTATCCCTGCCCCCCTTTTAGCTGCTTTATCTCTCTTTGAACAAGTTTATGTGCCTCAATCTTTTTCTTCTCTCCCTCATAACAAGACAGCTTCTTCTGCCTGAGAACATGTTGGAGTGATTTACTAATCCATGGCTGCTTATTGGGAAAATACTTCCTGTTTTCAAAGTAATCCCCATTTTTCCCAGAAAGAAATGTAAGTAGAAATCGATGATCTAAGTGAGCTCTCTTCAGTCCTGTGACCTGACAGACCCAGAGGGGCCATCACATCACATTTAGAAGCTCCCCTAATGGAGCCACAACACATGTCCAATACTTAGTCTGTCTTGTTGGACCAACTGGAAGAAATGATTCAAGGACTTAGTCACAGAACAGAGATTTCAAATCTCCAAAATCCAACTGGCTGCATCAGGACATATAGTCTGAAAACTCTGCACAGTTTCCTGTTTGAAGCTGCTTCCTGTTGGCTTCAGCTGTTTGGAGTTTCCATTTTCTAAACTTCTACATTCTGAACCTTCTTCAGCTCTGAACAGATGATGAAACACTGAATGATTTCAAGCTCACACTTTGTCTAATAAACTTACATCTTTCATTCTTTATACAGATTGAGAAGCTGTGGTTTGTCGAAGATCAGCTGTGATTATCTGGCAGCAGCGCTGAAGTCCAACCCCTCCCATCTGAGAGAGCTAAACCTGTGGTTAAACAAGCTGCAGGATCCAGATGTGAAGCAGCTGTCTGACCTTCAGCAGAGTCCAGACTACAGACTGGAGACTCTGAGGTCAGTAGCTTATTGATTGGAAACAAACACTTCCTGTTTCTGCCTTAATGGTCACTATAGTAACGGCTGACACACTCTGATCAAACGCTGTCAACAGCCAATCAGCTCTCTGAAAAAAGCAGCACACAGACCAATGACTGCATTCATTTCCAAGTTTAAAGCAGTGAAGAACACAGTCTGTAGGTGAGGAAGAATTTAGTGAGAGCAGATGTTTGGATGGAATTCCTCCAGTTAACAGCTGGAACCGTCCATCTGGATTGTTGGGTTCCTTAAGAGCTCAGAGTTGAAAGACCAAGGTTATTGTGTTTTTACAATAACCTTGGTCAGACTGCTATACAAAACATAGAATACAAATGTTTCAAACAGCATTTGTATTCTATTTTTATCATATTGTATATAATATTTTATTTCTATTGTATATAGTATTTTATTTTATTCTATTCTACAGTTGTGTACAGTATCTTATTCTTATTGTATTCCAGTGTTCACTAATTTTTGCTATATAACTTTGCACTGTCCACTTTCTGCTGTAACAAAACAAATTTCCCACGTGTGGGACTAATAAAGGTTATCTTATCTTATCAATGATGTTTTCTTGTCTTATCTTATTCTAATGAATGAAAGTCCAAACTCAAACTAGGAGGGAAAAACATTTTCATCAACTTCAATAAAAATCCAAAGATTAGAAAAAGTGAAGCAACAATGAGTCCTAGTACAGTCCCAGCACTGAAGTCCCTGCTGCTCTTTATACTGGATGTGCTGCATCACTGACTGACAGCTGATGAAGAGTCTCTGGAAACACTCGTTTATCTCCTCTGCTCTTCCTTCTTCTCTCTGCAGGTGGAGCTGATGATGGTAAACAGGACGGTGAGAGAGGATGAGCTGTGTCCCGATTTGATTTTTTATTTGTATTTTTTAATGAAATATATGATATATACTCTCATATATACTATGTTATCATATATACTTGTATACACCATACATATACATACACCTGAGTGTTTTATATGATGGAATCACTGAGCATTTAACCTACATGCTGAAATCACAAGACCCAAAGGTCAAATATGGAAGTCCTAGTACAATAATATTTGACCCAAAGGTCAAATATTATCTACAATTATATTAATAAAACTTTGTGCCATTTGCTTTGTGAACACATGTTGATCAATACTGTTTGAAACAATGTGTTAAGGCAAGCAGTGACTAGCCCAAACATGGGGTTAATTCAACTTGCCAATGCTAAAGTATGGGACCTCTTTTCTCTGCACTCATTTGTGCTTATCTATTTTGGCCCCACTGGGTATGCACCTGGGGTGCTGTTTTCTCACCTCAACCACCAGTAGGTGAGAAAATTTCTTTCTTAGCATAGATAGCAGTTTACTTCAGGTAAGCGCACCTAACAAAATTGTCGAATTGATTAACTTGAATTGACACTGCAACCTTCCACGCCATTCAAGTCACCATGTGTCCACCCAACGCGTAGTTACGTTTGTCAGGAGGTGAACGTCAGGTCACGTGGAAGGTTACGGCGTAAGTTACTCAGATTACTCACAGAAGTCTAAATCAACCGTCAGTCTGAGTCGAGTCAGCCGAGGTTCAGAACAGTGGATCCTCACATCGCTCATTCAGAGACTTCCTCAGGTGTTTGTGTGAGTACAGAGAGACACAGCTCTGCTTTATTCATAATAAATGGGCCTACAATCATTTTATAGCACAATCAAATGTACGAGTGTCATGTGACCTGGGGGAGAAAGATATAGAAGTCCTCCCTGACTGCGTCTACATCACAGCTCAGAGGTTCAAAGATCTTAATGTCCAGCTTTATGTGATTAAATATGATCAGAGTGCTGAAACAGAACTTTTCTCTGTTTCCTAATAATAAAGAATTTTTATTGTTAATCAAAGATAA